GTGGTTGGTATAAAGATTTAAAAGATGCTGTTCCTGATGTAGCAGTTGCTGTTGTAGGGAATAAGAGTGATATTAATGATCAAAGAGTTATTAATGAAGATGAAATAAAAAGATTGAATGAAGAATTAAAAATTGAAGTATATGCTGAAGTATCTGCTAAAACAGGTGAAAGTTTGTAATAAAAAAATAAAAGTGAAGATGACTATTAACAATTTAGATGTTAAAAAAGTATTTCTGGATTTACTTAGATTTATGAAACCAAAAGAACGAAGTGAAGTTACTTGTATTGAACACCACCAAATTCAAGAAAAAGAGGAAGAGTCAACTAATTGTTGTTAAAATAATTAATGGATAGTTTATGTTGATATTCTTAATTTTTATTTAATTGTCTTTATTGTAGTTCTTTTAAATTGTTTTAAGATAAAAATTCCTTGAAATTTAAATTGTAATTAAAAATCTTTTTATTTATTTTTGTACCCATTTTTTTTGAAAATTTTTGACATTTAATCTACTGTTGACAGTTTTTTTTATCTTTAAAAATAAAAAGAATATCTCTATTCAAAGAAGAGTTTATTAAATTAATTGAAATAATCATTTCTCTTTGAGAAGACAAAGCAAATTATGTTTGTATTTAAGAATAATTTCTTTTTATTTCATTAAAAATAAAAAAGAATAAATAAATAAATTTAAAATGTAACTAATAACTCCTCATTGATTTTAAAGTAGTCAATAATAAAATATTAAAAGAATAAGTTTATCAAATATTTATATACTCATTATATTTAAGTTAAAAAGATGTTAAAATTATTGTACACATTAAACATTATTAATGAAAATTTATTATAATGAGAAAAAAAATAAGTTATAAGAAAGGCTTAATAATTTCATAAGTTTTATCCCATATTTCTTGACGTTCTATAGTATTTTCTGCTCTTTTATATAATGTACTACATTCACAATCTTTATAATAACCACCATTAACAATAGAATCAGAAAATATACAATGTAATGCTGTTTGAATTCCATCTTCAACACTTTTAAAAATAAAAAACCCAAGAATCTTATATCCCCATTGAATGAAGGTTGGATATTTATTAAGAATATTCGATACCACAACACCAGGATGAATTGAAACTGCTTCTATTCCATGAAGACTTAATTCTTTTGCCATCATCATTAGTGCTAATTTACTTTGTGAATATCTTTGGTAACAATTAAAATGATCCTTTTTACAGTCCAAAGTAATAGGCTTATCAGCGAATTGTGCCATAATAGATGAAGTTATTATAAATCTTCCATGTCTTATTTTTAGAGCATTTAGTAATTTTAAATTAAACAAAAAATGTCCAACATAATTAATTCCTATTATCCCTTCTAAATTTTGTTTAGTTTTTGTAAACGGTGAAATAAGAATTCCTGCATTGTCAATAATATAATCAATTTCTGGATATTTTTCAATACACATTTCTGTTGCTTCTTTTACAATTTTTAAATCACCTAAATCCATTGTTATATGTTCAAATTGTGCATTTGGAAATTCTTTAATTAATTCACTGGATATCCGTTGTGCCAATGATTCATTTCTTGAGAAAGAAACAACAGTGGCATGACGTTTTAATAATTCTCTAACTAAGGCAATTCCCATTCCATGTGTCCCTCCTGTAATAACAACAACCTTGTCTTTAAGGTCCTTTTCAATAAGGTTTTGTCTTCCATTACAATACATTTTTAATAAAAATAAAAACACTCCAATTAAAATGATATTTGTTAAGAAATCCATATTTTTTAAGTTTTATTTTTTAGTTCATAAGTAAATTTCATGTGTTATTATTAAAAGTATTACTAAAATTATTGGAATATTTGTTGTTTTATTGTTTAATAGTTTAATTAATTTATAAATATAACAAGTACTATGATTTATTAAATTCCATCTTATTAAATTATTTTGATCATTTTTTTTGTATGAGAGTATTTAGGGGGTTAAAAGAAGAAGAGTTTGTATTTTGTCTTATTGTTCGATACATTTTTTAGAATAAAGAGAAAAAGATTAAAAGATAGTACTGTTATTAAAAAACTAAAATTTAGATATTTAAAAAGACCTTGATACATAAAAAATAAATAAATGAATATACACAATCAGTACCTGTTTTCCTTGAACAAAGGTAACAATTAGATTTAAGAAAAATCTATTTATTTTTTAAAGAACATAAATTATTGATATAATAAAGTATTTTACAAAATAGCAGTACCTCAACAATGTATAATAACTTTAAACACTCAATTAACTTATAAATATTACTTTAAAGATTTTGACTTGTTAAATTTAACTAATAACATTTACGTTTTTTAATAAATACAAAATTTTTAAAACAGAGTAAATATCTTGTTTTAATACATGAAGTGATGTTAGAGGTAGTTTAATTAAAGCCTGGTGTCTTAATCTGATACTCCAATAGAATGTTATTTTCTTAATCAAAAATTGTTTTATAGTATTTTAAACCATTTTATATAAATTTTGAAAATTATTTATTTATTATGAGAATAGTAATTAAAAATTAAATCAATAATAATGTTTAAATAAACAATAAATATCTCTCTAACTCAGTTTTTAGTTTCAAAAAGATAAATTTGATTTTTTGGATATTTAAACTACAAATCAGTTTAGAATGCAATAGAGAAAAAAAATGCTAAAAAGATGTAAAGATGTTGTAAAGAACAAATATTAAATAAATAAAAGAATAAAATGAAGAAATAAATTAAATGACAGAAATATTAAAATAAGTTAAATTCTAATTTATAAATAGTTTTTAAGAAATATAATAATAACATGAATTATTAAAAATAAGAAAATCAATTAATTTATTTTGTTTGTGATTCATTCATCAATGTATTTAAATGTTCATTTCTTTTAATAATCAAAGATTCGATTTTAGACAAATCAACACCTTCGTCTAATGTACTAGTATTTTCTAGTGAAGATGAAATAAGAACAAGATAATTACAAACTCTTTCAAATCCTAGACGTTCTTCAGGTTGTTGTTTCCAACAATCTTCAATTAATTCTTTTAAATTTAAGGGCATAAAATCATCAATTTTAAGTCTTTTTCCTTTAAGAACGAAATCTTTAATTTCAAATAAAGATTTAAATTCTTTATAAGGTTCATCTTCATAAAAGATTTCCCATGCTGTTACACCATATGCATAAACATCACTTGCAAATGAATACCTATCACTATAACATTCAGGTGCTGCATATACAGGAGTACCAAGTCCTTTATCTTCATTACTATAACTACTTTTAATAAATCTAGAAGTACCAAAATCAGTAATTTTAATACAACAAGGAGATTCTGGACATAAAGAATTAACTAATAAATTGTCTGGTTTAAGATCTAAATGCATAATTCTATTTTCATGTAAAAATTGCATTCCTCTTGCTGTATCAAATAACATTTTAACTTTAAGTTTATATGGTAATTTAATATAACTTTCATTATCTTTCCTAAGATATTCACCTAATGACCCTAAAACAAAATATTGCATTACCATTGATACTTGTGGTAAATATGTAACTGATCCCATATAATTTGCAATAAATGGATTACGTAATTTACTCATTAATACACATTCATTAATAACATCCATTTTTAAATTTAATGTTTCTTCTTCTGTTAAATTTTCCCAATGAAACATTTTAACTGCAACAGGAACACTACGATAACAACCTATATAAACTTTACCCATTGCTCCTTCTGCAATAGGTTCTTCCATTAAATTTAATTCATCTAAATCAATATGAGTAGATGATGCTGCTGTAGTATCAATTGTAAGACTTCCATGAAATCTTGAAGTAACTTTTTTTAATAATCTATTCATTGTTTCTTGATCTGTAGAAGTCCATTCTTCAAATGTTTTTTCTTTTAGTAAAGTAATTATTTCTCTAAGTGTGTGTTTTGATTTACTAAACCAAACAGAATAAGGAATTTTTATATCATTAATTTTTGTAGTACAATGAAGAGTCATATAACAAGTAACTTCTTTAGTTATTCTTGGTCTTATTATACTAACTTGTTTTTCAAAATTAAATACAAATTTTGGATTATTTGGAGTATGAAAGATTATTAACATATATTTATTTCCACTTTTATTTTTAATTTCCATTCGTTCAAATCGAGTATCAAATACTTCTGTTGGAACATCTTTATTTCCAAAATCTAATGAAACTGGATTAATTTTAAATTTTGTGTCTACTTCAGATTCTACTTTTTTACTTCCTGAAATATAATAATAATACACTGGTTGTTGTAATTTAAATATTCTTATATCTATTCTTTTAATTCTTCTATACAATATAATTCCAATAATAGTAACAATTAATATAATAACAATCAATCCACATAATAACCCAATACCAACATGAAGATATATTCCTTTTGTTGATTTTTCTTTACAAGACAATGGATCTTCAATATCTGGAACATATCCTTCTATACAATAACAAAAAGGATTACAATTCTTTCCTCCATCACATTCTTCTCCAATTTCATTTCCTTTACTATCAGTAATACTATCTCTTTGACCATTTCCACATGTCTTTTTCATACAACTTCCAAAATATGCTGTGTAATCATTTGAATCACAATAACAATTCTCAAGACATCCCTCTGTTCCTCTAAAACATTCTAAATCATCAGAAAGAATAGAATTAAGACATTTCTCTGATACGCAATAATGTCCAGATAATGTGTAATTCTCTGAACAAGTACAATCATCTCGACATCCTTTTTCTCCAAAATAACATTGACCATCTCCATTATTTCCTTTAGGTTGCCATGTGTTATTATGCCAACATTTTAATATACAACTTTCACCTCCATAACCATCTTTACATAAACATTTTTTATCTCTAGTAGAACAAGTTCCATGCCCTTTATCATAATTACATTCATCAGGACATATAGCAGAAATAATAATTGTGAAATTACTATCTTGTTGATCTGTGAATAAAGTATACCTTTTTCCTTTTGAAGCTTTTGGATCAAGAGAAATTACCAATCCATTTTTATAACCAGCAATAGTATTTGATTTACCAAATAATTGTCCAACAAAAAGTTGTTTACATTTATTAATATCATCATAATCAACTTCTTGAATAAACCTTATTCTATTATCAAATGAAACATCAACAGCAATTCTATATTTTGAATCAATATTTTGTTCAAAGAAATGACCTTTCATTAGTTTATCAGGAATACATGCAGGATAAAAGTTTTGACCTTGTTGAGTATTATCAAGTATTACTTCTGTTGATCCTCCATTTGCCATTAATGCATCAAGTATATCTTGATTTATTACTAAATCATTTCTTGGACTATAACTATCCATTGCTTTTATAGATATTGTAATTGAAGTGCTTTGGTCACTTGTTACATAAACAAAAAAATATAAACGATGTTCATGATTAGATGTAACAAAACGTGGAACTGGTATAGGAAATGTTGTTGAATTAACTTTAGATGATAAAATATCCATAGTAAAACATCTAAATGTTTTATCATTTTGATTTGAATCAGTTGAATCAATTCTAACATCTTGTTTATTTGATAAATCATTATGAATTACACTAAACATAATAACTTTTGTCATTGAATCAATTTTATTAAAATCTACAAAGAACCAATGACCCTTTCTATAAATCATTTGGTTATTAATGTCTTTATAATGACAAGGTCCAGAATCATAAAAAGTTGTACTATCAAAATTTAAAGTAATACTTTTTTCATTTTCAAGTTCAGTAATAGAATCTGGTATTAATGTTTTTTTCTTTACAACTTTAGAAGGACTTATTAATGAACACATTCCCTCAAAATTATTAAATAATGGATTTGTTTCTGAAATTTCTAAAGTTGAATCAAACGGTGTACAATGATCACATGAATGGTCATTTTCATATTCACTTGAACAGGAATCTAGACATGTATAATCTGCAATACATTCAGATGTACATCCTGGACTACAATGAAATCCTTTACTTTTAAAAAATAAAAGAATACAAATAAAATAACTAATTAAGTGCATCTTCTTTTATTAAAAAAAAGTATAGTTCTTACAAAAGGGTTTTTTACTAAATAACTATTTTGAAATCAGTTTTCCCAATTTCAATCTCACTGAATTCTGTTTATTTTTTGTTTGATTATTCTATTTAATTTTAGGGGTTTCAATATGATTATTTTTTTTTAATATTAAAATTTTCTGTTAATTTCTTTCATAAATCTTGTGATTTTTATTTTTCTTTTATCCTCTTTAGTAACATTACTATTTTGGTTTCCTCCTTTTTTGATCAGACAAAAACTTAAATCAAACTTTTTTGATATATTATTTTTAGATCTTGTAAGAATCTTCGACATTTCTTTCCTTTTAATGAAATAAATGTTATGTATAACGTTTATTATTAACATTTAGAAGTATAGTTTAATTCAAAGAAATTATAATTTTGTGCATTTATAATAAGGAGAACGGTACAACTTTTCATTAATAGTAAATAATATATTTTTATTACTGAATAAGTACTAGAGAAGAAGTTTATAAAAAATTTTTGTAAATATTTGATTTATTATATTAATATCAATTAAATTTAAATTTCCTTCTTCCAAAAATAAATCTATGTATTTCCTGATATATATTAAATCTTTTAGTTTATTTAAAATTAAAATATTATTATTTTGAAAAAAATGAATAAACCAATTTGAAAAGTTAAATGATAATTGATTTCTAGTATTTTTTATTGAAGTAAAATAACTTTTAATCTACAGATGTTTAATTGAAAATATTGATAACACTATATGTGATGATAGTATTGTTTTTATTATAAGAATTTGTAAGATGTAACTTTTTTAGCTTTAAGTAAAGATGCAAATAAAATAAATAGTATTGTTCTATGAGTAGTAAATAGTCTTTCTATCTTTCCTTATTTTAAGTGTTACATTTGGATTTATTAGTATAGTTTATAACTATGACCCTTTGTTATTTAATTTAAAAACAACAAATAATTTAGAATTGTTCGTATCAAATTATCAATTATATATTTACTAGAGCAACCCGAAACTAATTCTTGCATTTACCTTAAAACCCATATATTTAAATACTTGGCAGATATCAACTATTTAAAATATTGTTTTATTTTGGTTTCAACTAACCGATAAAAAAGATCACCAATATGGTATTTATACTATATTATCATAGAAAGAACAACACAAAATTATGTAAAGGACATACTAAATAAAGTTTTCAGCCAAAAGTATATTCACTCTTCATAATCATTCATATCATTATTTTCATCCAATTTTTCTATGAACATTCCTTTATCTTAAAACAAAAAAGTTAGAAAATGAATCAATTCATAAAATTATAAAATAAATGTTATTTTTAGAATTGTTTAATTTTAAAACTTTACAATTTAAACCAAAACAATAAAAAGAAGTTAATTTTGAAGGATTTGTAAGGAATGTATTTAATACTTTTTCGTCATAAAATTCTTCAGGTATTCCATAAAATTGTTTTACAGTAGGAATGATATGCTGAGAATCTTCTACATATTTTAATAAAGGTTTAGTTACATTAATATCTTTAGCATTTGACATAAGTTCTTCTTTATTAAAAGTCATTCCTTCAAAACTACGTTCATTCATTTCATCAAATCCAATTACTTTTATTTTGTTATTAATAACAACATCAAAAGTATCTAAAAAGAATAAATAACACAATTAAAATATAATAATTTTAATCAAATAAAACAAACAACAATCAGAAAAGTGATGACTTTTAATAATTTCAAATAACTCATTAACTTTCTTTATAATTTCTTTCTTTCTTTCTTGAATTTTAACTTCATATGCATCATTATATCTTTGTGAAATAATAATAAGTTCTCGGTGAACCACAAAACATCTAAATTCATCAGAAATTCGAATCTCTTCAAATTTTCGAATTTCTAATTCATTAACCTTTCCTTCTTGTCTGTATTTTTCAATTAATTCTTGGGCTCTTTCAGACCCTTGTAATAACATCATTCCTTCATTACCATTACAAACTTTTAAACTACCATTCATCCATTCTGCATCAACCAATGCTTTTCCATTAATTTTTAAAAAAACTCCTCCATATAAATGGACGTTTCTTTCGATTATTTGATTGAACCATTCAATTTCACTTTTCCAATTTTCTTTTTTTTGTTTTTCTTCTTTTTCTCTTTTTTCAAACGCTCTTTCTTCTTCTTCATCTTTTATTTCTTCAATTCCACTCCACGTAAAATTACTTTTAACATCTCCTTCTATTTCTTTAATACACTCTTCATCTAATTCAACGACCTCTCCTTCAATAAGAATTGATTGAAATAGTGACTGAACCGTCGAGGGTTTCATTTTATCTTTTTTAAGAACTAAAAAATCTCAGATCTTAAGTTCGAATGTGTGCTTTCCACGCCAAATTTAAAGAAGCAGCTCTTTTTAAAAGAGTAGTTGAATCACTTAAATCTACTATCGATAAAACTAATTTTGATTGTAGTGATGCTGGAATAGCAGTTCAGTGTATGGATAATTCACATGTATCATTAGTATCTCTTTTAATAGAAACTGACGCATTTGATGAGTTTCAATGTTCAAAACCAATTACATTAGGAATTAATTTAACTCATTTATCTAAAATACTTAAAGCACTTGACAATGACTGTGGACTAATTCTTGATGTTAAAAAAGTAGATGATGCTGTTTTATCAATTACTTCTGAAGGAACAAATAAAACAATGAAATTTGGTTTAAATTTAGTAGATATTGAAGCAGAAAGTGTCGAAATTCCAGATCTTCAATCTGATGCTGTTATCACTCTTTCATCTGCAGAATTCCTCAAAATTACAAAAGATTTTAGTGCTCTTGGAGATGACTCTATTACTATCGGATGTACTAAAAATGAAGTCACTCTTACTACTAAAGGTGCTATGTGTGAAACTTGTATGACTCTCTCTGCTCTTGAAAACGTTGACTCTAATGGACTTCAAATAGAACATAATAAAAATGTTACTGCTTCATTTGCTTTAAAACAAATTAGTGAATTCGCTAAATCTGCCCCTTTGGCTGATAATGTTAAATTATCTTTAAGTGGACAAGCACCACTTATAATGGAATTTAAAGGAGAGGCTTGTGTGTTAAAATTCTACTTAGCACCAAAGTTTGATGAAGAAGATGAACCTCAAGAGTAATTAATTTCTTTGGTGCATTGCCATTTCTTTTATTCTCTTTTTCAATTTCAAAGAAACACTTTTTTATTTTAAATTGAATTAATACAGTGAAAATCATATAATTAAAAAAAATGAAAGAGTTACTGAAAAATTGAGTTATCGACAGAATGTTATACTATTTTTGAATTTATCAGATAAAAGTAAATTGACTTATTTTATTATTGAATATAATAATTAATTAATTATTTATTTTTTGTTTTTTAGAAATTATTTTTATTTTGTTATTTTTATTTTATTTATATATTTTATTTATCATTATGATATATTTTTATTTTTAATATATTTCACTTGTTCGTATCATTTATTCTTTCTTTATTTTATTTTTATCACTATTTCTTATTTTATTTATATATTATTCATGTTTTGTTTTTATGTTGATTAAAAATTAAAAATAAATATAATTCATCATTAATATGTTATTTTGATATATTTAAATATTATAAATAAATGAAGATATTATGAAATATGTATAGAAATATTATATATTTAATTGATTATTATTATAAATCAAATACAAAATATATTAAAATTATTATTATTTTTATATTATCATTTTATCATTATTTCATTCAATATTTATTATCATTATATTATATTATATTTTAATTTGATTAATATCGATATTTATGATGAAAATAAATTTATTTTGACTATTCATTATTATTTATCATTTTTCTTATTATTTTTATTATATTTTCATTTATTAATGAGTTTAATTATAAAATTTGTATTCATTAAATGTAATAATATCAATGAAATCATTGATATTTATCATATTCTATATCATCATCTTAAACATTATTAATATCTGTTCATTCATTAATATCATTTATCATATTGTATATTATAATTGAATAAATTTTAATTTTATTATTTATTTATTTTAAAATAAAATGAATGAGATAGAATATGAATTATTATTTATATCAT